GACCGTACCGGCTGAGGATCAAACACAGTACTGCTTCGACACACTACAACATGAGCCACGGTCGACTACAAAGAAAAAAACTATATTTTATGTACTACCTATATGATGCCTTAAATTACAAGACAGATATAAAATTTGATATTTTAATATTTGACGTGATTCAAAGCTGTTTTTAGCTAATTTGAAGAACGTTCTGAACATATATAATATTAGAAAAAGGAAGGTACATCGAAAGCGAAAACTTAAATCATCCAAGATTTGCAAACAACATGAAATTATTTGCCCCTTAGAGTGTTTTTGTCCACGTACCATTTACAAATTCTAGAGCGATCTGTAAATGGCGCATATTCTAAAGTGACGTGTAAATGGCGCATATCCTTGTGTGATTAAAATAGCCCTGAAGATAAACTTAAATAAATAAAAAAAGCCTTGTACAGTAAATATGTAATTTATTCAAGATATTATAGTCATATTGAAACCGTATTGGATACCATAATGGAACCAACAGAAGAATCAATTAAATTATTTTTTTATCTAAAAGGCAACTTCGCAGGAAAGGGTTTTCTATACGGCTATAAAATTTGGACATTGAAACATGAAATTATTAAGAAATTTCAAATAGCACTAATAGATCAATGTACGCCTGGAATAACAAATAGAGATCACCAATTACTGGAGTAAATTAAAAAAAAGGACCCAGGTCATAGAAGATGACAATAAACACAGCATCTAGCGAGAGAGACCCACGACCACTATAATTAGCTCAGTAGTATAAGACTAAACAGACCAATTGACATTCACTAGTTTCATATTATTTTGAATTTTGGGCACCGTGAAAGAAATATCTTTTTCATTTAATTAATTTCTTCATCTAATTCTTTTAGTTTTTGCTAAAATAATTAGATTATTTGAAGATATTTGTTTTTTTTTCATTGACTTTAGCAAAAACTAAAGTAATATACAACTAACTAATAGACAGAAAAGACATTCTAATATATAACATACAACTGGAAATAGTAAAAGAATACATATATTTGCGACAACTAATATACATCTCGGGATCTCTACTACCAGAAAGCAACCTAAGAATTAAGTTAGCATGGAGTACTTATGGAAGAGTCTCAATCATATTCAAATCTAGAATACCACTTTATCTAAAGAAGAAATAATTCGACCAATGTGTACTACCAGTCATGACTTGCGAAACGTGGACACTCAAAACTGACATTATAAGGAAACTGCTGGGGGAAACTACGAAATATGCTGGAAATAATCAAGAAAGACCGTAAAAGAATAGAGTGGATACGACAAAAGAACCAGGTAATAGATCTTATTCCACAGAATCAAATACCTCAAGTGACAATGGTCAGGACACCTGGCAAGAAGGACGGACAACAGATGGCCCACAAAAATTACAGCACGGTACACACACGGCACAAAAATTAACCCACGAGGAATTAAGAGACCTAGAAAAAGACCAAACCTGGACCTGAGATGGGACTATGATATTAGGAAATTAGCAGGGATAACTTGAGCCCGCATAGACAACAATGGGCCCAACTATAAAGAGAAAACCTAAATATGTGAGGGAGGCTACATTATAATTGGAAATGGTTGAATAAGCTGAGAATGACGATGATGATGAATCTAATTCCTAAAACTTTTGACCTTTTGGGGTTCGGTTGGGTTGCTGTCAAATTGATGAATAGTTTGAAAATTTTAAATATAAAAGAAAACTCTTACTTTCTGAATCAACAGTGAAATTTAAATTTCCTTTGAAAAGTGTCCGCCTTGGATTTAGGTTTTGTTCTACGTCAAATATTGAACGCACGTCACATTAGAATATTGCACGAGGGCGTAGTGACAAAATCATCCTAACAGGCAAATCATTTCATTATCTTAAATTACATAATTACCCTAGATATGATTATTCTCTTGTATCCCTTCAATTTTTCTGTCATATGAACTCAAGTGATCTTTATTCCGCATACTAAATAAAAGAACTTATCAAAAATGTTAAAAGTATTATTTATTATAGTTAATTATTAGTAGTATACTTCCCCTGTGTATAAAACTCAAAGAAAACATATTTTTGCGAGTGGTACACCCGGTACATCTGTGTAATTGCAAGGGCAGTAAAAATTAACGACAGGAAACGAGAGCTCGCAACGTGAGCAATTGAATGTGACCATCCGTTGTTGTTACTGCTGTCTCCCTGCTACTGCTGCTGCTGCTGCACTCGAGAGAGCCTCCGTATCGAAACGACAGAGAGACCGTATATAGTTAAATGCCGCTCGCTTCTCCGGACTTGGGTTGCAATAGATGTTCCGGAGATTTAATGCGCCATATTTCGCTTTTGTGCATCTATAAAGGCCACTTACTCGATATTCTTCCCAGCTCGGCAGCCCGGTTCCGGATTTGGGGTGAATAAGGAGGAAGCTCTCTTGACGGAAGTCGGTTATGGCCTGGGCAGGATTGACGGCCCATTGCAGTTTAATAGGCGTGCCGGGCCATTCTACGAAGCGTAGAGAGGGTCGTCTTGGTTTATAAGTTATAACTAAAGGCCGTATCATTATTTTAAATACTTTACTTATATATTTGATAACAATTACAGTTAGTTACGTAATCGAGGGCGCGTTTTTTTAAATTCATTGTTACCAACCATGGACATATTTGGTACCGGACTGACTGACTGGAATTTAAATTCCCCCCTGGACAATCAGGTGGTATTTGAATAAGAGTGCGGGTCCCAGGTGGGACCCTACACTGCGGCCGCGAGGGCCTCAGGCCAGTGAAACTCTTACGGGATTTCTTTGGTCGGATAAAATGTTGCATGGGTCTTCGACTAGATGGCGCCACAGTATTTTACTTAAAATTATTTTTATTTATAAATTTAACTAATATTCCAGAAAAATATGAGAAAAGCTTTATTATTAATAGTAGTTATTGCTAATATATATTTTTTAGATTGGTAAAAAAAATTATTAATATTTATGTTTTTTGTATATATAGAAATTTGACATTTGTCAAAATAGTCAATAAGTGACGCAATTATTTAAATTGTTTTTCAGTTTTTTGTTTTTTCTTTGCTTATAAAATGTTTATAAACTTAATGGGGTTATTTATAATGCCTTCGTGTTAGTGGTTGTCTTTTTCCCTCAAAAGGACCATTTTACAAAGTTCCCGACTATAAAGCAGACTGATTTGTTTGTAGCGTAGGTTAAAGCCTTGTTTATAAAGCTAGTGGTAATTCAGAATTTATAAATGGAAATCTTCAAAATATTTTCCAAAATGCTAGAATATGTGCAGTACATTTTGAAGTAGATGACTTAATAAACATTTGGAAGAAGATAAAAACTTGTATTCCTCATATTAATGTCTGGTAAGTACACAACATTAAAAATATGTATTGCTGGATTCAGGCTTTAGTAGGCTTGGTACTTTATTCAGAATTCGGATTAAATATTAATATTTATATCACAGTAGCGGATTAAATATTAATATTTATATCACAGATAGTCCTATTGCTTAAAAAAATTTGTAGGGCTATTATCAAATTTAATACCTATGATGATGACACATTAAAGCATGACTTCAACAAAAGCTTACGTATATACGTATTGATATGTACAGATGTACACACATAAATATACTGTATGACAAAAAAACTGCGTCAAGTAGTCTTAGAAATCAATATATCATTCTCCATATAATTTAACATATCAGTGACTGCAGTCTGCGTTTTCGAAAGGTTTCTCGCTATTCAATGGAGCTATCATCAATGCTGTTTTTTGATTCATATCATATAGCATTTGACTAAAGGCTATTATTGCAGTAAGTTATTACTAATATATGCTTATGTTTTTACAGTGCCTCTTGGAATTGTTTTTGGACTAGATTATAATGAAGACAGTCGAGAGAATCAGTCGAAACAACCACTCAATAGTGTTTATTCAAGACCATCCTTAAATTAACCATCTGTATGTAAAACAAAAACAATATCGAACAACAGGAATATAGGAAATGAAGTTGTACTTTGTAAATACTTTGTGTTTTATTTACTTCGTATCCCACCTTCGCATATTGAATGTATCAAAACTTATCAATTCAGCATATGCGGATTGTCAATTTGACTTCTGCTTATGCTGAATTAATAAGTTTGGATACATTCAATAATAATTATAAAAAATATGGTAATATTTAAATATCCCGCCCTGAAAATTAAATAATAGTTGATAGGTCTCAGGATAGATGGCGCCACAAAACCGTCGAAAGTTTTTGTAAGGAGGTTTCAATTCTATTTTGTTTTCTATGGAGGGCCTATTATAATCAGGTGGTTGTCAGAGCCAGTATATATTTTTAGGGAACAATTTCTGTTACATTTTTTAGAATAAAGGTAATTTCAGTTTAAGATGCACATGTTTTTCTCGATCTTATTCAAAAGTGAAAGTTTATGGATTTACTGTTGGTGACGGTTGGTTTTGGGAACTCTTGTCTATTAATTTATGACCGAAGACAAGGGTTCCTTCGAGGACGTAGTTCAAGTGGCTTTTGAAGTAGGTACTGAGTTAAAACATGTGCCTTATTTTTTAGAAAACTGAATATTTGGGATTTTAGTCTTTAGTATCGTATAGATTTTAAAAGGAAGCGGAAGGCGGAGTCGTACCGGGTTTTGTATAATTTACGCTTTTCCATTCTCTTTCTTAATTAATCATTTATTCGTGGATTTTGTTTATTATTAGTTGCAAGTAAGCTCAGTATTTAATAAAGGTTGTATATATGTAAATAAATACGGCTTTTATTTCCAAGGAGACGTGTTGTTAAGACGGGTAGTTTTTTCGACGCGACATTTAGTGGCGACCGTGACAGGACTGTGGCTGAACTTGTAACTTTTTTGTTATTCGAAAGCGAATTCGCGTGTAAGTGATTAGGGCGATACTCGCTGAACTTTGCGGTAACTAACGTGTGGTTTACGGATTGTGTTTGTTGCGTGATCAAATATGGAACAACAAAGGAAAAATCGCAAAGTACTTCGCACTTCTTTTTCGAAGGTGGCAAATGAGCTTTCAGATTTGCTATCTAAAGGCGAAGTGGAAAGTCGGCTTGTACAAGTTTCGTGGAACATTCTCCAGCAAAAACATGATAGTCTCAAAAAACTGGATGAGACGATTTTCAATACGATGCTGGAAGAAGACGTTAGCGAAAAGGATTTATTGACAGAGACTGAAGGAAACGACACCTATGAGCACAAGTTTTGTGATCTGTGTATACGCTGTGAGGAGTTCTTCAAGCCACCCGCGTTGGCTGCCGAGGTGAGGTCGAACCACTCATGTAGCGGTAAACAAACAGTTATTGAACCAGGTAGGCGTAAATTTAAGTTACCGGTGCTGGAGTTTAAAAAGTTTGATGGGACTATTAAAGACTGGCTTCCGTTTTGGTCCCAATTTAGGAAAATTCATGACGATCTTGATTTGGACTTAAGTGACAAGGTCGAATATTTAGTTCAAGCAACGGTTGCCGGAAGCCGTGCCAGACAATTAGTGGACAGTTTTCCCGCGACGGGTACTAATTATTTGAAGATAGTCGATTGCTTAAAAGCGCGATTCGGTAGGGACGATCTTCAAATCGAAGTTTATGTGCGTGAGTTGTTGAAATTAATAATAAGAAACGCTACGTCGAACGAAAAAATCGAGATCTCTTTATTATACGATAAAATAGAGACGCAATTACGTGCGTTGGAAACACTCGGCATTACTTCCGATAAGTACGCGGCTATGCTGTTTCCATTAATCGAATCGTGTTTCCCGCCGGACCTCCTTCGTATTTGGCAACGTACGTCAACGGTCACTGAGGGTAATGGGGAGTCTAGTTTAGAAGACCGCCTAAAAAGTCTAATGTTATTTTTAAGACACGAGGTAGAAAACGAACAACATGTATGTTTGGCGATGGAAGGGTTTGGTTTAGGATCAGGTTTAAATAAAACTAAGAAGAATTTGGAACATAGGAATACCGGTGTAGATAATAGCGGGAACGTGAAGTTTAGGTCTGTGCCAACTGCATCAGGCTTAGCAAATAACACCAGGGAACCGCAGTGCGTTTTCTGTAACAACAATTCGCATGAAAGCGTCAAATGTTTTCGGGCAAAGAAGTTGTCAGTCGAACAGAAACGCGACAAGTTGGGCGATTCCGGTGCATGCTTTCGGTGTCTCAAAATCGGGCATATTTCACGAAGATGTCACATGAGAGTAAAATGTGTCACTTGTGGTAAATCACATATGGAAATTATGTGTCCAGGGCTGGCGAAAGGTATACCACAAGTCACAGAACCACCACTTACATCGGACATCACGACCAATGCAGACGCCAGCCAGGTATTAGTAGCCAACCACAGCACGAACACCCAGGTATTTTTGCAAACCCTCCGCGTACAATTATACGGAACAGGGCGCTCCAAAGTTGTACGGGTTTTAATCGACACTGGTTCCCAGAAGTCGTACATTTTAGGGTCAACGGCCACTTTGTTAGGTTACACCCCCAAACAAAAGATAAATTTATTACATGGATTGTTTGGGGGAAGTCAGATCATGCGGCAACATAACGCTTATGAAATTAATTTACGACATAATAGTTATGCTTGTACTTTCGAAGCTCTTGACCAGGACGTCATTTGCAATGCGGTTTCGCCTATCTTTGATGGAGTTTGGTTGGAAGAAATGAGTCGGTTGGGTATTGTGCTTTCGGATACTTCGACCCTGTCACCTATTGAGGTGTTGATTGGTGCAGATGTGGCGGGGAAGTTGTACACGGGCCGAAGACATATTTTGCCATGTGGTTTGGTGGCAGTAGAAACCCTATTAGGCTGGACCTTGATGGGCAAGATACCTGAAGGACGTAATAGTGTCGAAACTTTGTCGGCTTTAAGTCTTTTCGTCAATGACACATCATTGGCCAACTTGTGGAAACTGGAGACGTTAGGCATCGTGGACTCATCGGAGCAAATGACACGGGAAGAAAGCGCTTTGGCGGCAAAGGATTTATTTTTAAAGACAATTACCGTCAATGGCGAGTCCAGGTACGAAGTCCGCCTACCTTGGTTAGAGGATCGCCCAGAATTGCCGAATAACTACAATCTTGCCAGGAAAAGACTTGACAACACTGTTAACAAGTTACGCAAGGATGGACTTTTCGAATTATATGACAGGGTTTTTGAAGAATGGCTTGCGGAAAACATAATCGAAGAAGTCCCTCAGACGAATACAGGCCAGGCCCATTATCTGCCACACCGGCCGGTTATCAAAGAATCGAGCACAACGAAAATTCGGCCGGTATTTGATGCATCAGCTAAAGAAAAATATAAACCCTCTTTAAACCAGTGTCTCGAGAAAGGGTTAAACCTTATAGAGGAAATTCCGAATATTTTTCTGAGATTCAGGACCAATAAAATTGGAGTGGTATCGGACATTAGAAAAGCCTTTTTACAGATCGGTGTACACGAGACCGACAGGGACTACCTACGATTTTTATGGGTCAATAAAGACGGTGGTCAAAAAATTTTTCGGCACCGAAGGGTGGTGTTTGGCATTAACAGTAGCCCATTTTTATTAGGGGCCACGCTAGAATATCACTTGACCCAGATGCTGCAAAAGGCAGGTACACATTATTCAGAAGGAACAGTGCAACAATTATTAAAGAGCTTTTATGTCGATAATTGCGTGACAAGCGTCGCAAATGAGGAGCTTTTGGTAAAGTTTATTAACGAGGCGTCTTCAATAATGGCTGAAGGAGCATTTGATTTGAGAGGGTGGGAGTATACCAACCAAGTGCAACCAAACGAATTCTACTGTGGTACCACGGTACTTGGTATGACATGGGATACCACCAAAGACACCTTAAGCCTTAAGTTGGAGCTAGAAAACTTTGCCGAAATGCTTAGTAGGCCGGTGACAAAAAGATTTATGTTATCATTGGCTCAACGACTATTCGATCCGATAGGGTTCACCTGTCCTGCTACATTGTACCCTAAAATTTTACTGCAACAGACGTGGGAGAAATCCATAGGTTGGGACACTCCAGTTGACGAAGAAATGGCCAAGAACTTTCGATCATGGATGGAAGAACTCCCATTTTTGATTGAAATAAGAATTCCGAGATGGATAGGTGCGGGAGCTGAAGACGCCAAACAATGGGAAATACATACGTTCTGCGACGCCAGTAAGAGTGCTTTCTCTACTGTTGTGTTTCTGCGAGGTATTCAACAAGACGGGAGTGTTTTTATTCATTTATTAGCCAGCAAATCACGAGTAGCGCCTATCAAGAAGTTGTCAATACCTAGACTTGAATTGATGGCTGCTCTAATTGGAGTTCGTTTGTTTAATAATGTTAGAAAAAACCTAGATATTAATGCTGAAGTATTTTTTTGGACGGATTCCTCTACAACACTATTTTGGATTCAACACGAAGAAGAGTGGGCAACTTTTGTGATGAATAGGGTAGAGGAAATAAGAAGGACATCGCCGGTCAGCAGTTGGCATCATGTTCCAGGAGTAGTTAATCCTGCCGATCTTCCTTCACGTGGATGCTCGGCTAAAAAACTGCTTCAATCAAAATGGTGGGAGGGACCTAGTTGGCTTTACCAAGACAGTTCACACTGGCCAACACAAAGTTTTAATTTGATTGAAGCAGAAATATCTCAGGAAAGAAAGAAGAAGCTGGTTACGTCGCTAGTTAACAAAGACACGGAGGTAATGAACACGGATGACTGGCGCCTCAACTATTTTGGAAACTTTACAAAGACAGTACGCATGCATGCTTGGATAATCCGGTTTTGGCACAATGTTACAAACAAGGAAAATAAACGTAAAGGTCCACTTGCTGCTGAAGAGATTGACGTAGCAGAACAAAAGATATTGGGGCTGGTACAGCGCGAATGTTTTGCCGAGCACAACGACAAACACTTGGCTTCTCTGGACGTCTTTAAAGACGAAAACGGCATTATTCGCTTAAAATCTAGGATAAGTAATAGAAATGATTCGGAATTATTTAGATATCCTATAGTTTTGCCGTCCAAACATCCTGTAGTAACACAATTGGTATTTCAAGAACACAAAAATTCATGCCACACGGGTGTTCAGGCCCTAATTAGCATATTGCGCGAAAAATTTTGGATTTTAGGTGGAAGACGTGCAATAAAGTCGGTAATATCAAAGTGTGTAATTTGTAGAAGACACAGCAGTAAGCCCTTTGATGAAAATGCTCCCCCGCTACCCTTAGATCGTGTTCGCGATTCGGCCGCCTTTGAGGTCATTGGCGTAGATATGACCGGTCCTTTGTATATTAAAACGGGCGAAAAAGTGTGGATTTGCATCTTTACCTGTGCAGTGTATCGCGCGGTGCATTTCGAACTTTGCATGTCGCTGTCTACAGCTAGTTTCATGCAAGCATTAAGACGCTTTATTGCTAGACGGGGGCGGCCGAAAACAATTTATAGTGATAACGGGACAAACTTTGTTGGGACTGATAACGCGTTTTCACGTTTAGACTTTACGAAAATCGCCGAAGAAAGTGCCGTACAACGCATTACGTGGCGGTTTAACCCCCCCAACGGGTTCGTGGTGGGGCGGGTTTTGGGAAAGACTCATCGGGATTCTGAAACCGTTGTTAAGAAAAGTGTTGGGTCGAACTTCACTTACTTACGAGGACTTGTCAACGGTGATTTGTGATTGTGAGTCGGTAATAAATTCGCGGCCCTTAACTTTTAGCAGCAATGACGCTAATGAACTGACTCCATTAACACCGATGATGTTCTTGAGAGACATAAAAGAGTGTGGTGTTCCTGACATCGACGACGTTGACCGGGAAACTCTTTGCAGAAGATTGGTTTACAAACTTAAATTAAAAGAAGATCTGCAAAAAAGGTTCCGTAGCGAATACTTGGGGCAGTTACACCTTGCTCAAAAGCGCCACGGTGGACGGAAAGTTACGGTAGGAGAAGTTGTCCTGGTGGGAAATGACCAGGATAAACGCATGGATTGGCCAATGGGGAGAGTAGCAGAAGTGATCCGGGGAAAAGATGACAAAGCTCGCCTTGCAAAGGTCATCACAAGTAAAGGGATGTACCTACGACCCATTCAACGACTATATCCTCTGGAATGCAGTGATCCCGCTATTTTCGACGCGATTTTGGATGATTTGACTCACCCTGAGCAGACCGGGGCCAACCAGGATCCAGCACCTCCTGTAGTGACCAAGGCAAGTGCGGGAAAATGTGCCGCGAAATCGGGAGTGAATGAAAGTAAATCATCCGTCGAAAAAGTGGTAGTGACGCGAAGTGGGCGTGAAGTAAAATCTCCCAAGAGATACGGTATATTATAAAACTCTGTACATTTGGTGGACTGGTAGATTTTACTGCATATAATTTATCTTAATTTGTGAACAAGATTTGATGTTTTTTTTTGGTTTGTTCAATATGCCATGTATGTAATGTAATAGCTCGACTTAAGATTTTAAGATTCTGCGACTGTCTCTGATTAAGTGAGTCCACATTAGTGTAGTAAAATGGACTCAGGTGGGAGGATGTCAGAGCCAGTATATATTTTTAGGGAACAATTTCTGTTACATTTTTTAGAATAAAGGTAATTTCAGTTTAAGATGCACATGTTTTTCTCGATCTTATTCAAAAGTGAAAGTTTATGGATTTACTGTTGGTGACGGTTGGTTTTGGGAACTCTTGTCTATTAATTTATGACCGAAGACAAGGGTTCCTTCGAGGACGTAGTTCAAGTGGCTTTTGAAGTAGGTACTGAGTTAAAAACATGTGCCTTATTTTTAGAAAACTGATTATTTGGGATTTTAGTCTTTAGTATCGTATAGATTTTAAAAGGAAGCGGAAGGCGGAGTCGTACCGGGTTTTGTATAATTTACGCTTTTCCATTCTCTTTCTTAATTAATCATTTATTCGTGGATTTTGTTTATTATTAGTTGCAAGTAAGCTCAGTATTTAATAAAGGTTGTATATATGTAAATAAATACGGCTTTTATTTCCAAGGAGACGTGTTGTTAAGACGGGTAGTTTTTTCGACGCGACAGTGGTAGCTCTGCTATAAAAAATGTCAAGTTGCCACATTTATTTTTACCTTTCCTCTACGTTTTCAATGGATTATTTAATTGGAATCAGCTTCACAAAAAGTCACGTGACATGGCGTTTTTTTTTAGTAGAATGTAGAATGTACAACGTTTAGGAGGGGAGTTAATCACCGCGACCTTATAGATCTATTGTGTGTTCCCCTTTCTTGAGTTATAACGAGTTATAACTCATCATACAGTCTCAGGGCTTTAACAAAAGCCAGTATCTGAGACGGCTCCATAGAGGCCAGCTCTCCATTCTCGACATCAGACGTACCAAAGTTCATGGCACGAAAGGTCGTCGTCTCGGCGCACTCGGTGATAAGGTGTTCTGGTGTTTCCCCATTTTCACCACAGAATCTGCATTCGCCGTTGTTTCTCAGCTTCGGCCTACTGAGGTGTTCGTTGAGGAGACAGTGTCATGTTAGAAACCCCGTGACAATCCGAAGATTGTTTTTACTTAAATCAAGGAAAACCTTTGATTTTTCTCGGTCGTAAGTTCTGAGGAACTTTTTCAAGTGTCTTAGACTGTTGGAGGACACCCATTCCAAGTTACGGATTGAGTCTTCCAGATTCTTCAGTTCCGCTTTCAGTTGGTTCCCGTTTGGAAAACAGAACGGTTCTGGTCCAGTTAGTGGAGTGTTCGCTCCTTTCCTAGCTAGATCATTTGCTTTTTCATTGCCTTCTATCCCTTGGTGAGCAGGCACCCAGAGTAGGAGGACTTTATTTTCTTTGCCTAATTTGTTGAGCTTCTCTAGGCATTCTTTGACCAATTTCGAATTGATGGTTACTGAGTTGATCGCGTTAAGTGCTGCTTGACTATCGGATAGGATGGCAATTTCCTGTTTTCGATAGTTCCTATCTGAGGTAAATTGTACGCATCTTTCGATAGCGTAAATTTCTGCCTGAAGGATACTGGGGTAGTGAGTTTTCGGAATATTGAGTAGTGTATTTATAGGAGTATTGAGTTTTCGGCCCAAATACTCCTAATATCTGACAAACGAATCTAAAACAGCGGAAGGAATGCGGGCAAAAAAAGTCGATGTTGTCACGTTTAATTATAGAAAAGCAAAGTTGCTCGATATTACCTATAAATTGAATATATTTTAGTTCATTTCAGCATACATAATTATATATATGCTAATATGTTGACGTAGCTCTCATTGTTATAATGTATATTTATCTAATTAACTGATTTCGTTCATTCTGCCTATTATAAAAGGTAAAGTATTTCCTTAAGATAAGGTCCGCTTAGGGTAAGCTGGCAACGGTGACAAAATTGATCATGGCATCCCGGATTCAACCAGTCTGATTGGTCGAGATTCTCGCACGTCTTGTCGCCATTACCCCCAACTTGATGCCCCTCTCTAGGAATAGTAGAAACAGTCACTACTATTGAAAAATCCAGTGGCGGTGTTATTGTATTGTGTTTTATATCTTTAACTTGATTTGTGTTTATTGTAATTAGTACACGCGTTTTAACAAATATTACTATATTTGGCAAATGACTAAACAAAATGTAGGTACATTTAAAGTAAAATAATATTATAAACTTTACTGGAAAATATTATAAAAATTCCTGATATATTTTTATGAAACCCCGCACGCTCGTGGATATGTTATGAATGAAATCGGTCATGATTTTAGAAAATTGCGATCCCCTGGCCGTTGCCCCGTTGTTTCAGATCCGTTTGTCAGACTGTATCCCTGTCCCTGCTTTGGTTTTGGAAGCATCAGTATACCACGTGATGGTATGGTCTTGTATATGCTGAGTAAGCGTTTCTTTCTTCCAATCGTTTTTATTACTCAATACTACAGTGAGGTGTTTCTCAAAGTTGTAAAATCTTGGTATGTCATCCACTGGGAGTTGGAGAAGTGGAATTTTCTTTTTGAGGGTGTTCCAAGCCCCTGACCTGAAAATTCTACCAGTACTATTTCCGTCGATGACCATTCTAATCATTGTCGCATTGGTATAACTACCGACGACAATGTGCAGTGGTGTTAGGTCTAGTATGACCTCCATTGCTGCTGTTGGACATGTTCTCATGGCACCTGTGATGCAGATATATGCCAGTCTCTGTACTTTGCACAGATTTTGCCTTGCTGTACGTTGTTCTAGTTTTGTATACCAAGCAACTGCTCCATAAGTAATCATAGGTCTTACTATGATGGTATACATCCAGCGCAAAATGTTAGGTTAGGTTACCTATTTCCCGCCAGTCTTCTGCATATCATGAGAGCCTTTCTGGCTTTGCTGGTAATGTTCTTAATATGCCTGTTCCAGAGAAGTTTACTATCCAGGGTTATTCCCAGATATTTCACTTCCTGTGATGGCAGTATTTCCTTTCCATCTAGATGGATTCTTTTCAAGATTTTCAAACTTCACTTTCTGGTGAATGGCACTACCGCGGTTTTATCTGAGGTAATACTCATCCCGACAGTCCTGCACCATCTCTCAGCGATGCCGAGTCCTCTTTGGATAAAATTATCTTGTTTTTACAAGTTTCTTATTTAAAATACTATAATGTATCAATATTTCTTTTTTGGGTAATTTTTGGTAAAATTACTTTTTTTCAATGTGAACTTTAACAATATTTAGCTATATTTTCCTTAACACCAAGGATAATAGAATAAACTTCTTACAGAATTATTTTTATGGCGTTGCCAACATCGTAATATTTAAAATGCCAAATCTCATTTTTTTAAATACAACTCCCTGTATATTATTTTTCTTTTCTAGATTTTCTTTTTTTAGATGTAGAATTAAAAAATGAACATTTTTTGTATTTAGAGTGTTATCTAGAGTGTTATCTAAGTTTTAAGGATTTTATAGATATTCGTGGTATTATATTATAAATATTACATATAGATCTTTCAACAGTAAATTTTTATCAAAGTCACCTAATGATCATCTTTGTATGGTATTTTACCGTTGAAAACAATGGCTATTGCCGACATTAAGTAAAGTTTAGGATATTACGGATTCAAACTGAATAAATCTAACTAATATCTAAAAAATGTTCAAATAGGCTACAAAATCAGATTTTCTCGCTAGTGAAAAAAAACTGAACATATCTTTTCTTAAAATCAAATTACAACGATTACATTTAAAATTTCTAAACGAATAACGGTTAAATGGGCAAGACTGAGTAGTATAATATATATGCTAAAAAATGTTTCGGGTATATAATTTAGAAATGAGGCAGCATACGCCGTGTTATTCCTAAATTGCCATCGTTTAGCTTCCCAGTCGTACGCTAGATAACGTACGGCCGAAGAGAAGGAAAAAATGAAAACAAACTTATCTCCTTGCCTGATATAATCTGTCCCACCATCAAAACTCTTTTATTTGCCCGTACACCGACAAATATCCGACGACAAACTGCGCCGCTCTACGGTTTTCGAGAAAGTAGCCCAATAACTTTAGACTTTTTCAACAAAATCAGCGATTTGAGACTTTATATTAATAATATCCTTAGAGCATGTAGTTCATAAACTCGTCATGCTAACATCGATTTTTAGTTGCGTGTCCGCTTCTATTGTAACTTATAGCCACGGGCACAATGAGAAAATAGGTGGATGCTCGCCACTGTAAATA